TATATTAAATTTTGTAAAATCTCGATTTTACCGATTCGATTTTACGATTCCGATTTCACCTAATCAAAACGATTTTAAGTAAAATCTCGATTTTGACAACCTTGGAACAAACCATTAGGTCATATATGTGACAGACTAACAGTTCCATTAAATAATAAATTAAGCCCAAAAATAGCATAACAAAATTATATACCTATTAACTTAAAAGCTCAGCGAATGTATCCATCAGGAAAAAGTTTTAAAGGTTGTATCGAGCATCTATAATCAAATTCTAACTTTAGTTTGGGCAATGAAGGATGGGGTAAAGGAAGGAGTTATTTTCAATTACGTAAGCTTGATCCAAAATCAAGATAAGGACTTCAATCCTTTTTAATTAGTATGGATCTAACATGTTAGTTATTTCTGTTATATTGTGAGTTGCACATTGAGAAGGCAACTTCCTCTCCGCTGCTACTTTACTCCATTCTAATGAGTATAATTACAACTTAAATTTGTGACTTCTTATTTTTTTTATCTTGAATTACACAATAAAAGGTAACTTTTTTTATTTCTTAACCAACCCCACAAGCAAAAAAAAAAAAAAAAAAGAGACTTTTTCTTGATATGATAATTAATTAAAATAAACAGATAATGATAGGGTCAAAGTAAAAAAAAAATTACGTTAAAAAAATAATAATCAATTTGAGATTATTTTTTGTTATTTACAATTAGGGTGTTCCTTAATCAATTTTTATGCACTTTAAAACTAATCCCTTCTTAGGTAATTTTAAGGTGGCACTCCCCACATTAGCTTGGTGCTTAAGAAAATTAATTTTTTTGGGCATTGACCCCAAAACTTAAACTCTGAACTTAGTTTAGAAGATGACACTTATTTATTAATGGATCCAAAATCCTTGGGTTAATTGGAGACAAATCTAAAGTAAAACATTGACAACCATTTTACATTGAAGAGAGTATGTAACAAAAAAATCTTATTAAAAGCTAAGATTAATCAAGTCAAAACTACACTCTGGGCTGGTTTGTTAGGATGGAATACCTATTTAATGGTTAAATTATACTGCATCCGTTCAACATTAGTAGGTTTAGTTTTTTTTTTTTAATAAATATACAATAGTTTATTGATAAAACTTCATATTTATGCCTAATTAAGTAACTCTTAAATAAGATTTTTTTTTAACAGCAAAAGAGTGATTTTATTATGATAACCAGGGGTACTAAACCTAAATAGATAAGAATTGTTGTTAATATATATCGCAGTTATCTTTTAAAATAAGGAAAAAAAAAAAAAAAACTAAACGTATTAAATGAAAGCTTAAAAAAGAAAAGTGAACTAAATTTAAACATCCCAGATCAGAAACTAAGTCTACTATAAAGTTAATTGGAGGGAGTAAAAAAAAGGCAAAATAAGAAAATTATTAGATAGGTTAGAAATAGCTAAATTTCATGATTAACCGTACTCTTTTAGATTTGGGAGAGGCTGGTAATACTTTTCCCATATATATTCATCTCTTAATTTTATAAAAATGGATCAATTTTAAGGTTTAGCTAATTTTATTTTGTTTAGTAAGTTTTCTTAATGTTGGTTTTTTGGTTTTCTTGCTTCTTGAATGAGAATTAACTGTGCTTTGGGATGGAATGATGTTCTTTTTTCTTGAGCGTATAATATTAAATTCATGATTGTATAGTTAACTATTTAAAAATTAAAATAATAAAATAATAAAATTTGATAAGGCTCTATTTAGTTTTTAAAATTTTAGAAATTGTAGAATAAAATTAAGAAGTCTTATAAATTAGTTAAGTTTAATTTTTTGAGTATTAGTTTTAAAATTTTATATCCAATAAGTTGTTAATTTTAATTTTGATTTTCAAATTTTAATTTTAATTATTTAAATTTTAAAAATCAAAACAAAAAACAAATGATCATAACTATATTAAATGGAGTTTAACTTAATTAATTATTTTTTATTGTTTTAGAATAGACATGAAAAGAATAAAAATTAATTATTTAATTCATTTATGAGGAGCAAACTACATATAGGTCCTACTCACGAATGGGTCTTTTGGTTTTTGCCTTTGCCTGATGAACGATCGAGTTTTCCTCCAACCCAACATGTCCTAGGAAGGGGTGAGAAATGAAAAGGGAAGAGGTGACTCCCTTTTTGTAACCTACTACTACTAGTAAACGTGCAAATTAATTAATTCAAACAAGGATTATATATAAACATTGACAAGCACATAAATACAGTGAGTAGATGATAACATATAATAAGTAAAGGCAAACTTAACTTAAACGAAATAATAATATATATAAAGAAGGAAAGAAAGCAATTATAATATTGCAAATTTATAAGTAACTAATAGCTAATGGATAGCTAACAAGTAAATAAATTAAAGAAGTGCATGAAAAGATAGTGAAGAAAGGGAACCTGGAGTCGCATTCCTTCTTTTGTGGGTGCAATGTTAAAGAAGGAAAAGCGAAAGGGACTGAAGCTATCATCACGCGTCAATGTCACCGAGATGGGTTGTGTGATGGGACGATTCCTGGACTGCCAAACATGGAAACAAAGTTAAATTGAGGCTTGCTGTGCTTACCTTTCTGTGCTGGTATAAATCGACTTTCCCAAGGCAAGGCGCACTCAGTTTCTGCTACATTTCTAATGGTCAGGCATTTGTTGGCGATAGAGAGTTCACAATGTCTTCTTTTTCCCTCCATCCTTAGGCATATGGACACAATCAGGATGAGATGTAAGGATTCAGATGGTTGTAGTGGTACGATTCTATTTTAACCTAAGGGGTCACAGGGTTGAGTTTTTAAAGTTAAAATTAATATATTATTATGTATCTATATTACGTGTAAGGCAGTATAATGCATTTTTTATAATTAGAGGCATAGACTTGGATTCTCTTAAAGTCATTATTTCAATAATCTTTTTTTTTCTTTTAATCTTTGATGACTTCTGTGAAGTAAATAAAATTTTAGGCAAAAAATGTCCTAACGGTTTTTTTTTTTTTTTGGTGAATCAAGGGGTTTGCTGTTCTAGTGGCAAAGAATTGGAAAAAAATTCATTGAAACCCGTAGGAGACAGATCTCCCAAAATTTTTAGAACATTGATTTGATTCCTCTTTCCCAAGTATTAGGGGTGGGTACGGTTTGGTTTTAATTATTTTTTTTTAAAATAATCATTTAGTTTGGTTTTGAATTAAACCCAAAAAACCAGAAGATTAAAATTTAGCCAACATTTGGAGTGAGAAGGGGAGGGGAGGGTCTAAAAAATTTTCACAAAGCATTAAATTAAAAAAAAATATTTAAAAAAGGCCCAGAATTTTTTAAAAAGTGGAAGAAGGCCTAAAACTCATTAAATTTTTTTTTAAAAAAAAGGTCCAAAAAGTTTGGTTGTTGTACTCGCCTATTACCAGCTTTCTGGTTTTTGGACCCCAATAACCAAAACTCGTCCGATTGAGATTCAGTTATACTCAAAGTCTGGTAAAAATACTTAAAATTTGGTCAAACTCAACCCACTGGTTATGGTTTAGGCCGGTTTCAAAATTCTTTTGAATTTTTCTGCTCACCCTTACGAGGTGGTAATGACCACATGTAAATTTGTTATGACCATACATATTTATTAATTTGTATTTATAAACTTATCGTATTTATTAATGATAATTATTTTTTTATTTAAAAAATTATAATAAATCTCAATTATTGAAAATGAAGAGATAAATAGTCAGGATTTTATATAAAAGTGATGTGTAAAACTTATGTATAAGTTAGTTGTGTATAAGATTTATGTGTAAGTAAATTCCTATTGTACATATAATGATAAGTGCAAATTGGTATATGAAATTGTCCAATACACACAACATATCCTGCCGGGTACTGTAATAGCAACAAACTCATAAAGCATGACATTATATCAAAGTAGTTAATATTATATTGGCATATATATTGATTTTGCTATTGAAATGTTACATATTGGATACTAAAATTTTTCACCAACCATTTTAGATTTATTGTTATAAATATATATTTTTATTAATTAAATATCAACTTTTAAAATAATGTTAAGAGAAACTAATGTTTAAAACCATTATATTTCTATATAAATTTAAAACAAATTTAAAATGATCAACTTTATAAAACATCCATAATTTTTTTTCTTTTTTTTTTAACATTAAGATAATATTATGAAGCATAACGATGTTTTGGGTTTAATATTATACAATTTGCAATACAAAATACTTCCACAATGGAAGGAATCATGTTTTTTAAGTATAACAAAGAATGAAAAAGACAAACCAAAATATTATTGAGAAGAAAGAGTAGCAATGGGTGAGCATTGAAAATTAAAAGTCTGAATCTAAAATTGTCAAAAGGGATTAAAAATACACATTTTTTATTTTTCAACTTCTAATATATATATATTTTTTGTCCCTCCACTTTAGGTGTAGGGACTAAAAATGTGTATAAGGGACAAAAAAATATGCATATTTAAACAAACATAACAGAATAATTAACATAAGGACTTAAAAAAATGCATTTTTCATAGTTGATGGACAAAAAAAGTGTATAAAAAAATTAAAAGATGAGAATTATGGAAAACATTAAAATTGAGGACCAAAAATGACATTTACCCTTTCTAAATTTGAATTGATTTGCACTGGTCAAATTTTGGTGCACTAGCCAAAAATTAGTGTAATAGCCAATACATCAAAATTTGACTGAAATCTGTGAAATTTGATCAAAACAAAATTGAATCTTGTACCTTTTCAAATTAATAAAAAAACCGATACATGCCAACCATACCGGTCAGTACAAGACAAAATTAATTTCTTTGCATTATATTTATTAAAAATAATTATTTTTTTACCTAAGAAATTATAATAAATTTTTACCATTAAAAGTGAAGAAATGCATAATTAAAATTTTGTATAAATATAGTGTATAAAACTTATATATAAATAAATTTCTTCTATATATAAAATGGTTTTATAATGGTAAGTGTGAATCAGTATATGAAATAGTCCAATATACATTTCGAATCTTACCAGCTCCCGTGAGAGCAATGAAACTCATAGAGCATGACATTATGTTTTTAACAACATGGATTTGAACAAGATGAAGTAAAAACTGGAGAATACAGGTAATAAAAAAGTGGAGACCCAACTGCACATCTTATCACTCGGTAAAGAGGAGCTGCATCCTGATATTGGGGTGGTAGTCATGGGCTCCAGTCATGGCCACAAAAGACATTGTTAAAATCATCAATATTCTACTTTCTTTTTATATATATATATATAATTACTTCATTTATTCAAGAAAACACAGAAGTATTAGGACAAAGTAGAGAAAAAATAATTTAATAAAATAAAAAATATAATATTAATAACCTTAACAATCTCTCTAGTGGCTATCACAATTCTCGTAGTCATTCCATAGGTCATTTCATCATGGTTACGAAAATGTAGAGCTCGCATGAAACGTTGTCATCTCTGTAGTTGATGTTCCCATATCTGTCCTCGTATGCGTGCGACTAAACTCAAAGAAACCCACTGCAATCCTATTTCATATTACATGCCTAGAAAAGACAAGAATTGTGTAAACTTTTTTATGTTACCCAATAAACAAATCTATTAAATCTTGATAACGTATAACCTATAGGAAGCCCTCAAAATCTACAGCAAAGAAGGCCCTGCCTCCAACCCCCATGCTTCCGGAAACGCTTCCGGTCAGCTCTTGCCATTCTTACTGGACTGCTATTCCACTCAGACTGTAGTCTGCGTACACAAAAGTTGAATTGTGAAATCATGAGGAACTGATTCAAATAAAAGAACATGTAAGGGAACAAACACTGTGACAGTAATTACATAGGAAAGGCAAAAGAATGAGTGCTTGTTGTGCTGCTATCTGATCTATGCGACATACTCCCGGAATATGCAATTGGCCCTGAGGAACATTTTAGACTTGTACTGGTGGAGAAACTAGACTCTCCATGACCATGTTGAAGTTTGTTTGAAATAAGCTGACCATCAGCATCTTCAAGCTGGGACGTATTTCTGGTCTCAAGAAGCTCATGATAAGTATTTTGTTGACACTCCTCCCTGCTGCTAGCGGTTGGTGCAGAAGAATCAAATTCAATGGGGATACTCCCTGTCTCAGCTTTGCATTCATTAGAAACCTGATTAACAAGGCTGCCCTCAGTTGATATTTCAGACACACAAACCTCAGCAGGACTGAGCACAGGTACTTTTTTGTCCTTGTTTGATTCTTCCACTGCAGGGGCCAAGGCAGGACTGGGCAAGAACATTTCCTCACAGCCATCATTTAATTCTCCGGCTGTAGAAACCAATTCTGGTCTCAGCATTTGCTTTTCACTTGAGGTCTGCACCCAAAGAAAGGCTCATTGCATCACATCACAAGAATCCTATCTGTATCCATCATAAGAATCCTAACAAATAACTATATCATTAATGTTCCAGAAATTCCTTGGAGACAGGATGATGCAAGACAGGTTAGGTGGTATGGTAGACTTGGGAATTTAGAGGCTGTCTACCATAAATTTAGCTCGTGAACAGTGCCCGTGAACTATGAAATAGGGTTTAAGTAGCTGTTTAGGGTATGGAAAAGAGGGAAAACAAACAGTATATAAGAAGAAATAAAGAAAAATCCCAAAAGTCACAACTAGGTTTGTTTAGGCATCACACCTAAAGAGGATAAGAACCCTTAAGCATCACACTTAAGGTTGGTTGCATCACACAATCTCAAGAGAAAGCTCATGCTGCAAATTTTTTAATATTTGATTAACTACTAGTAGAAGAATTTACAAGCATATTTATATATAAACTACTAAGACTCTTACTAGAACTCCTATTCTAGTTAGAACTATAGCCTGAAATTTAAAATTTCCAATTCAACTATGACTTAGACTCTTGATAAAAAAAAACAGTATAAGACTTCCAAGACTCTTAATAAAAGTAATGATAACTACACTCAAATAAAAATAACTACTTAAGAATCCTAAATAATCTAAATAACTCTTCCATAGCCTCTTCTTGTTCCTCATCACAAGATGCGATGGCTTGCTTTCACTTCAAGCATATTGGACTACTAGTATACATTCTAACTTTGATTGGATGTGAATAAAGTGAAGCTTTGGAAGCAAATAGTTAATCCAACGAAACAACTCATCATACATATGGCTGAAGTCCATATTAGAACAAGAAATTTCTGCATAATATAGTAATCTTTACAAGCTACACTTACCTGGAACAACTGATGTCCAACTCCAATGCCTTTTCTACTGGGAGATATTAGATCATAGCTCTCTGTGCCTGATTCTGGCATCAAAAGCAACTCCCCAAGTGTAAGTTCTTGTGATTCAAACATTGTAGTACTTTCCCTCGTATTGTTCTTTGCTTCCTCGGTCAACCTCAAATCCTTGGGATCACATTGGTCAGGAATACCTATGTGAGAAATATTTTGTTCTGGAGATAAGGAGACAACCGGGGAAGACATGTCACTATCCAATTTTCCTTCTACCATTTTAGTATCTTGGTCATTCTCACAAGGCAGGAACTTGCAGATACTTGTGTCAGCCATGTCACTTGTAATCAAGAATTTGTCCTGAGTGGGTACTCCCTCGTCAATGCATATGTCTTTGACAACACTGCATATATTCTCTTTGTAACAAACTACTAACTCAGGCAGTTGACGTTCCATAACACTTTTGTCCATGTAAATATCTGAGTCCCTCTCAAATGAATCCACATTTTTACGCGAACGAGACTGTAATATCAAAAAATTACCCGCCTCCTTTTCTTTGACATTTGTTAAATCATTCATGGTCATAGAACAATCAAGCTCTGATGCAGGCCAACCATTGGTTTCATTCACTACATATGGAACTCCATCTGAATTCCTCTCTTTCTCCATCAAATCACATACAACTTCATTCTGATTTCCCTTAACAATTTGTCCTGGCTTCAGTAAGGCAGGGTCCACAGAATTGTCTTTGTTCTCCAAAGGTTTATAGTCAGCAGAAAAGGGAGAATCACTCATGTGGACTAGAGTTGAATAGCAAAGGACTTGTTCATTATCTGCAAATATATACAGAAAATACTCAATAACCATCATAATATTAACATATCTGACAGATGTAAATCACAAGACAGTGACACCCTAAATTGAAATGGTGAGTACAACTGCCTACACTTTCGGCACCCTAATGTTACCAAATTTTCATAAATGATACAGATGATAACACTCCTGTAATAATTGAAATCTCAGACAAAGTCCCAATATATTAAACCAGTACTATACACAAGTCAGCAATTTCTTAAATGCAGAAACAAGGACCACCATCCTTAGTTGATAATAGAAATCATTAGGGATTCAATTCCAAGCAAAGATAATCACTAAAATATAGACGCAAATGTAAGAAACAACTGAAAGAGAACTAGAGGCTTTGTTAGTACCAAGTTTCATGTTTTAAATGGATTTGCTTCACAGCAATAGCAAGTAATATCTTCAACCCTAGCCATCCTACACATGCCAACTGCTCTGCTCCTAAAATGCAGGGCAAGTTAGACAGCTTCATGCTGTCAACGAAAGAAAAGGAAAATAGCTTGGAGGGTACATATTAAGTATAAAGAAAATTTTGATTAAGTGAAGCAGCCAACATAATCATTCCGACACGGATGAATCAGAAAATACATACAACTCAAAGGGTAATCAAGCAAAATGGGAACTATTATTATTCTCTATAAACTGCTTTCCTACTATGTGCCAAATTAAAAAGGGCCAAAATGAAGAATCCACAACGCACAAAATAATGATAATTAAACCATAATTTTTCACATATACAGTATTCAAGAAGAAAAACGATATTAAACAGTTCTAAAATTAATATAATCACGTACTAATAACAACATTTCATTCTAGCTTTTGTTTTTTGTATTGACTAAGAAAAGAGTTTCATAGTCGGAGCTACCATACATTCTGATTTTTTTTTTTTTTAAAAAAGAAGAAATTATAAAGAAACAGGTACAAAACGAAAAAAAAAAAAAAAAATCATTCTTAAGCTTTCTAAAATTAATACAATCACGTACTAACAACAATATTTCATTCTAGCCTTTGTTTTTTGTATTGACTAAGGAAACAGTTTCATAGTCGAAGCTACTATACATTCTGATATTAAAAGGGGAAAAAAAAAAAAAAAGGGGGATTATAAAGAAACAGATACAAAAAGATTGTTCCATAGCAAAGCTCTTTCGGCCAATCATGTATAACCTTTCGGTCTGTCCTCCATACAAAAAGACAAGAGAGAAACTTCTTGATCTTTTCACAATAAGTTTACAACAAAAATTTCTTTCACCCACTAAATCACAAACCCAATTTTTTTAGTTGCAAACCACCTACCGGTTCAAGTGGTTCTACCACTTGCCTCTGCTACAGACTCGATTCCTAGAGGAAACATCCCATCTCCCTCCCCCCTTATCACTAGGATTAAAATTGCCTTGAATAACAAAAACAAAAAAAATTAAAAAAAATTAATTGATTATTTGAAAACCCAAATAGACCCTCTTAGGACAGTGAGATCGTCTAATTCTGTATTGTAGCTCCAATCAGATCTCAACAATCTATACAGTGAAGAATTTGGATAATCATAAATGTTAAATGGGGTTTTACCAAACTAAAGAGATTATCAGCGATCTAATCCAAGTTGGTGGAGAAATGCTAACACAAAATCATATATACCTCTATGACAAATTTAGAAAAGTAAAATACCTTTCCAACTCCTCGATTCAGAACTCCAACTCTAGCCATGACAGCAGAACAAAGTACGCGAATCTAAAAACAGCCTAGAAAATTCTGGACCCAAATAACACCAAGAACTAATTCTGTGAAAAGATAGAAAGGAAAAAAAAAAAATTCCACAGCAGACCGAAGAGGAAGAGAGAAGGGGAAAAGAAGGTCGGCTTGGATTGAAGAAAATAGAAAGGCTAAAAATTGATAAGGAGAGAATCCTAGAGCAGATGTGTTGTAATTAATTATTAAAAAGAGAGAAACTCGTAATTAACAATAAAAGAATACAAGGTCAAACTCTTTACCTGTCCGCAATTAATATTTTAGACACTAGTAGCAAAAACAATAACTTCGCTGTCACATTTTCTGGAAAATGCCAACCACTTTTTCCTCTTCTTCAAAAAACCGGAAAAAGGAAAAATGGAAGTCCAGCCAGCCCATATTTCAATCTGAACAGCGAGCACCATCATTTGCGGAACAATTTGTTTGGTTTTCTTTTTTTTTTTTTTTCCTTTTATTCGTAAAGATTATTTTGCGGTACTGAAATTTTTTTTTATTTTGATGATATAATAAAAGACAATCATTTCTTATTCCACTCACATGTTATGTAATTTGAATTTAAAATTTTTACTTTTAACAAAAAAAAAAAGATTAACTTATTTAGATAGTTGGTACGGTACTAAAATTAATTAAACATTTAAAAATTTTGGGTTTTTCCACTCTGTAAGTCTAATTATTGTAAATTTTTAATATTAATTAATAATTAAAAAAATATAAAAAGTAATTACTAATATTATATAAATTATTTTAATTGAATAATTATTTAATAAACATTAATTTTTAATTTTTTATATTAAATAATATTAAAAAACATAATAATTTTACTCTTAACTTGTTTTTCTAAAAAAATGAATTAAAAAACCATAAATTTTAACTGAATGATCTTGTTATATATATATAACGCTGCTGCAGTAAGAAACAAAAAGGTATGAACTCATATGTATTTTTATGATATAAGCAATGTGCTAATTTCTTTAGCAGTAAGATGTGTCATTTTTATGATATAAGCAATGCACAAATCTCTTTAGCAGTAAGAGGTGTCATGTTAATTTATGTGTAATTTGAGATTATTTATTATTTATTCTAGTCAATGGTAGGTTATACAAATTAAAGTCAATGAATTAGATGTGCTGTCTTATAATCCACTTTATGACAGATTATAAAATCAAGATTATCAAAAAGGAAAGAGGAGGGTCTAATATCAAGTATCTTCTCTTTTGGATGATCTTAATATTATAGTTACCTATGTGGATTGTAAGGGAATTTTTCATAATAAATCTATAAAAAAAATATTTTTTTAATCTTAATAAACAATCAAACTTTAGTTAATAGGTAGGAATCAATTACCTTTGCTAACAAAGCAATGTATCATTGGACACCTAAGCAATGTATAAATGATATCAACTGTCTCCTAAGGAAGATTTGCCGGCATTTACGTCCGAGTTTGTTCACTTCACTAGTTCACTTGTGCGAGTGTGGAAGACTTTAATATATGGTCTGCGAGATAGGAATCAGAGTACCGAATTAATTCTCTTGAGTTCACTTGGCAGTTGGCAGGGACCGACGGAGGAATCTATGTAGGTGGGGGCGACATTTTTTTTTTTAATATAAAAAGAAAGTGCAAATTAAACTTGACAAACTAGTGTAATTGAACGGATTTAAATAGAGTTATTTTTAGATTTTGAATTTATTGATTTTGGTCATTTTGAATTTCGAGTTAGAAGGGATAGATTTATGATCCATTCATACAAATTTCAAATTAAGTCGAGTGAATTTAATATTTAAAAAAATTAGAACTTCTTAATGTTTTTTTTGTTTTTCTTTAAAAAATTTAATATTAATTAATTGTTTAATCAAAAGATTTTATTAAATTAATTTAACTCTAATAATCTAATAAGTAATAACTATTCTATAGTATTTAATTTAATTTTACACTTAAACATTAAAATCAAAAGCATAATTAATTAAAATTTTAATTTTAAAAAATTAATTAATTTTAGTTGAGTCACTTTAGATTAACTTAACCTAATCTTGATCTAACCCAATCGGTCTAGTAATTTTGGTCACGGTCATATTGGATTCTAAATTAATACCCTAAACCCGTGATTCTATTTATAACAAATGGGTTGAGTCAAATTTTCATATCAGATGCAATTTTACCAAGTTTAAGTGCAATAAATGATCTAATATAGTGATGGCACATTAAGTTATCTATAAGATTGAATTTTAACATCCTATATCTATTATTGCATGAAATAACTCAAACAACCTACCAGTCTAATACAATAGCTTCAAATGGTACACTCCAATCAATAAACTTACAAGATCTGAGATTGGCCCTCAAGGTTTAAATACCCAAAAATTTCCCAAGTCTTAATTTAATTATTAAGGAACTTGAGAGGAATAATTATGAATTGAAGAGTATGATGAAATATTTAAGGGTTGTACCTAATTGGTTTAGTTAAATCTTAAAGGATTTTAATTGCTAGTGTTTCAAAACTTGAGGATCAAACTGAAACTGATTATTTAATTATCCAAAAAAATCACCCACAGTAACTCAAAACTCATATTTTCCCTTAGCAACAAACAGGCGTACCTCTCTCTCTCTTGAAGCTCTTGGATGTCATCACTTCCCAACTCCAATTTCTCATAATTTGAAAATTCTTTGATTGTCACGTGAATTCTAGGCATTGATCTCATCCTCACAGTGGCAATTAGGGTCTAATTAAATTTAGATGTTGCACGAATCTCTCTCTTTGCCCGTCACTTATAAGTTGGGAATTAGATTGTGTTTGTACACCAAAATTCTGATCCTTGGGCAAATTATCTTTGTTGTTCCTGATCGGTTTCTAGCTATGATCTGCTGATTATCAAGCTAAATTCTACCGTTCATTGTGCTTTACTTGTTACCAAGGAATTTCTCTTTGATATGGTCTACGTAGCAGTCTACCTTAAAATCTTTGGTTGCTGTTCAAGATGTTGATGTTCGCAACGCCGTAAATCAAAGGGAGTGAAATTTTAGAAGCATTGCTAGTCATATGTTTTGGATTAGTAGAATCTTAGTTTTATTTCTAAATAAATATTCCTACTTTGGAATGAATCAAAGATTATGACATAACTTAGGTTGCTTTGAACATCAAGACTTGTTTTATTTTGATATGCAGAATTTTATGGTAGTCTATTGAATAAGTTTGTAATAAAGTGATCATATATTTTAGGTCATCCGAGTAGCAGATTGTGCATGCTAAGGATTAACATGATTTTGCAAGATTGCCAGTGCCTTGGTATGGAGAAAAGATGCAAATAAAGATAACAGCTTTACATTTTTTTATTTAAAAATGTTAATTTGATTAGTTTTTAAATAACAATGCAAACTCTTAATTTTTTTTATTTAAAGATATTAACTTTCAACTTTTTCTATTTAAAAATATCAACTTTCAACATTTCCACTAAAAACTCTGTTTGCTATGTTAGTCTCATCATTTAATTGATCCTTAAATTTAAAAAAAATTAGAAGTTAATATCTTTCAATAGAAAAAATTGAAAGTTGACATTTTTAAATAGAACAAAATAAAGGTTGGCATATTTATTTAAAAATTGAAAAAATTAAGAATTTTAAATAAAAAAGAAAATACAAAATAAAGATTGTTAGTCCTTAATTTTGAAAAAGTCTCCTTTTGCAAACAGAAAATAATCTTTTAGTGACTTCAGGTGGCCATTCAGGTCAGCATGAATAACTACAAGCTGCAGAAATATAGCAAACACAGTAAACAAATACTCTAAAAACTAAAAGGATCAAAGTTTTAACATACAGCACCTGCGAAAGATGACTGGCTGCAATACCGCGGATAGGGTCAACAGCACATTCAAATGATCTTTTATGAAATTCTGACAATTCCTACACATAATGGAACCATGATTAAGTTCAAGCCCCATAGGTCGTGGCAATGGCTTGTCAAAAAAATGCAAATGTCTTCAAAAGTGCAAATGTCTATCTACTCAGCATGATAGCATTTTAACAGCAAATTTTTAGCTAGGCAAAGAATAAAAATATAGGATAGCTATTATCAACTACATGCATCTATCATAAAAGGGCATCAATGAAATGTTCTATGCGACCAAACAGACTGCAGACCTTCAGGTCCAGGAACATATTTTCGATCTAATCAGCCTCAGATTGTGGCAGTAACTCTTCTCCAATCAATTTTGTTTCCAAAAGGGGAAACTGCCCTGTAAGTCCTTGAATTTTCTGAGAGCTCCTCAACATCTGCTGGGGATACAAAGTGTAACCTGAAACCAAAAGGCATGACTTGGATTCTGGGGGACCCTGATTGCTTTGCCAGCAAAAGATTTGATTCTGCATTGCGCATGTGAACATACATGGGAAGCATATCCAGCAAAATAGCAAACAAAAATAATAATAAAAGAAAAAGAAAAAGGAAGAGTTGATTGATAAAACTAAAGGAGAAAAACTAGAAACATGAATTTCTCAAAGAAAAAAAAAGAAAAAGAAACATGAAGCATTAAAAGAAAAAAGAAAAAAAAAAAGAAAAAGAAACATGAAGCATTAAGTGAATCCCTTTCAGTTTCTTCTGTTCAACTGTTAGAAGTTTAAAACACGATTGCTTTGCTGGTAATAAATTAAAATGCAGAAGCAAGTAGGGATACATATGGTTGGTCAAGAGAAAAAAAAAACGTAGGGAGACACGTTCACTGATAATATGATGGTAGTAACCATTGGTATGACAGTAACTGTTATGGCTCCGTAGGCACAACCTGTGATGTCCAGATCACTGGTCTATTGACAAGCAAGGGTATCTAAAAATAAGACTCATCCAAGTTCTAGAGTAATAATGATTCCTGAAAATAAGGTTCTGCATTCAAATGTAGCATGAGTCATATCAAAAATCATCAGTAACAGTAAACAAAAATCAAAACCTCCAAAATTATTGCTTTGCTGCGCACGTTGAATTAGCCCACAACACTTTACAACTTTGCTGATTACAGAGTAACAAAAAGCTCTTCATACTCTTCTGGGAATAAAAACAAGCTTCTTCATAGCATACTCCAGAAATTGCAAAGTTTATCCGGTCAGGTGTTACCATTTCTTAAACTTCCCAGCAGCACCTTTACTCTTACTAGTCTTTTTTTTTTTTGTCCATTCTGAGTATGATGATAACCTCATGTTAACTTGCTACCATTAGTGGCAATGATTACATCCCCTGGCCACAATCCATTGCGGGAAGCAACTGAAGAGGTTCACACGTCAGGCACAAGCACCCAGGAAAGGCCCCTGGTGTACGCAAACCAATGGATAATACTTGAGCAAATATGATCACATAAGCAAAGATGACAATGGAAACTACGCCAGCTGATATCATGATCATCCTATCTATTTTCGGTCTATTCTTAAGCAAATTTACATCATCAACAGGAATATCTCCCTCTGGGTCATTATCAGGAGCCCCACAAATCCACCTAAAGGAAAAGCTCTGATATAATACATTGCTTGCATTAAATTTAAATTACATTGGATTTGATTAATTGTATTACCAGAAATCACCACAAGAGCACTTTCCATTTTTGAAGTGATGAAATCGTTGGACATCTCTAAGAATGATCTGCCTGTCAAAGATCATTGATATATGTTTAGCAGCAGAATGACAATCCCCACAGACTCTTAGGTTCTTTACCACACGAATTGTAGTCCCAGGAGGAGTGTTTAGGAGCCCATATGCAATGGCCAATTTCTCACTGTGATATCTAAGAGTAATCTCTTTATCTTTCTCTTCCATCTCAGCATGAAAGACTAGAGAAGTATCAGGTTCATAACCTGCCATTTTCAATTCTATCATTAATTCATCAAGTGCCTGGTGCAAAGATGTGGCAGTGGAATGCACACCATCCCCAGAGAAGAACTCATGCACTACATTGTTCACCTCTATGGAGCTACAACCAGGAACTTTCACCACCCCTCTATCTTTCATCAACTTCCTCAAGAAATCAACATCTTCCCATCTCCCAACTCGTGCACACAAGTTGGATAAGATTACATAATCCCCACCATGGGAGTCATCTAATCTAAAAATTCTTTTGATTACCTTTTTCCCCAATTCCACATTGCCATGGCTACTACAAGCAGATAACAATGTTCGCCACAATATTGGTGTAGGCTTTATTGGCAATTCATCAATAAATTTAAATGCATCATCCAAGCGTCCTGCTCGACCAAGTAGATCTACCATACACCCATAATGTTTGATCCCAGGAAGGATTTTATACTTGTCACTCATGCTAGAGAAATATTTCCAGCCTTCCTCCACCAATCCATTGTGGCTACATGCATACAAGAGACCAAGAAATGTGATCTCATCAGGTTGCACTTTTGCCTTTCTCATTTCTTCAAACATCGCAATGGCTTTATGACCCTGCCCATGAGTTGCATATGCTATAATCATTGCTGACCAAGCCGGAGTATCTCTTACCTGCATGTTCTCAAAGACAGAAATTGCATCCTCCAAGCTCCCACACTTTGCATACATATCTATAAGTGCAGTGCTTACCTTTATATACTTATCAATTCCAAATTTCTTGACACATTCATGAATCCATTTTCCCAAATCTAATGCTCCTAACAAGGCACAAGATGACAGAACGCTAAGCATGGTAACATCAGTGGGCTTTAAATTTCTCAGCTGCAATTCACGAAATAATGACAGGGCCTCATTTGGCCTGCTACTTCTAGTATACCCTGTGATAATTGCATTATACAAAACCACACATGGTTCCGATGTCTTATCAAAAATCTGACGAGCAGCATCAACATCATTGCACTCAGTATACATACTTATGAGTGTAGGACAAATATAAACATTATCATCCAGCCCAAGTTTGATAGCAACGCAATGCAATTGTTTACCTTCCTGGAATGCTTTAGAACTAGCACAAGCCTTAATAACAGAAGTGAAGGTGTAGTCATCAGGTAGAAGACCAGAGCTAAGAACTAGAACAAAGAGCGCAATGGCTTGACGCGGGTAGTTAGAGCGGGAATAACCACGAGCCATGGTGTTATAGAGAACCACATCTGGTTCAGTAATTTTATCGAACAGCTTTTGTGCATAAGCCATGGATGTCATAGTCGGATTCTGAGTACAGAAATTGATGAGCTTGGTGACCACAGAGAGATAATTTTGGAGGTGGGTTTTGATGGCAAAGGAGTGAATTTGCTCAAGCTCCCTCAGCGAAGTGCATTTGGGCAATAAAAAAAGCGGGTTTGGTGGGTTTTTGGTGTCAATCCTCCTCAAGACATTGGCGTTTGACGCCATTGAGGGAGATGGTGGAGCGGTAGCCATTGAAGCAATGGAAATTCTGAGGTCACGGAAGCCAGAAGGGAAGCAACGATAAGGCTAGAGCGAGAGACGAGTGATCTTCCTCTCGTTTTCAAACGTAGTTGGGTTTTGTTGCAATTTGAGTTGCGCATGGGCTGGGTTGGGTTGGGTTAGCTAGCGGAAGCCCTGCAAAGCCGCCCATTACCTACAAACAATAAAATTCAGGCATTTCTCTTTTACACAGAGAGACAGAGCTTCTAGATTTGAAACCTAACACAGGTTTTCACATTTTAACCCCATACAAATACAGATTTTGTTGGGTCAAGTTCCTGCCGATTGCTCTGGGTTTTTGTCAATCATGTTTTTAGAATTTGTAATTTATTTCTTTCACTTGAAAATGCTGTCCAGCTTTCCTCATCAAAGAATCTCCAATTCTGAACTAGCGTTGTTTGACGTGCCTATTGTAAAATTTTGCTGTTTCTGGCTAGATTATATATATATATATATAGATTAGATATTGAACCCTAAACTTGTAATTAAAAACATAGATAACTAGCATTGCTGTTTCTCGGTAGATATAATTGGAGTTGTAGTTATTCGTGGGGGCACGTCTTGTTCTTATTTGCACGCTAGAGATTTGTCAATTCAAATGATGGATGCAGGACTTCAATCCATGTTTTCTAACCTTTGTGTTTCTAATGTCAAATGATCGAGGGAGACCTAATTGCTGCTCATTCGTCATGTTTGTTCCACTATTTGGAAATGGTTGTCATGTCTTGGTTTGCGAAAATAAGTTTTCTGTTAAAACAGTAGAGATTCAAATTAAACATAACATCAAACAGTGGAAAAACGTTTCTCTGAACCCTGTTTCCTAATAACTGCTGGTTTCAAATCCTTATGTCCCACTTTTTGAGACATGGGTCCGGGATGAATTTTTAATTAAATCAGGTGGAGTTGTATCTTAATTGATTTCACTTCTTTTCCAACTTGATGAGGCGGTAGTTCGGTGTCAAATCATCATGAATAGCAGAATTAATAGAAGAAACCTACTTGAATTAATTCAATGATACAGGAGTTGATCCTGAACCATTATTGAAAGATAGTTGTCAGAATTCTTAGAAGGAGAAGAGTTTGTATCTTCTTTAATGATAAGGAAAAGGAAGTTGTATATCCTTATTTATTGAGCAGACGGTGTAAGCATCTATTTGGAATTTGATTTTTAGTGTTGATCTATCTATGGAGTAGCCATTTGTTTTGCTTAGAAAGCAATAAGATCTTCCTCTGAAGTTTCATAAAATCAAACATAATATAAGAAAAAAGTGTGGTAATATGTGTTTTTTTTTTTAACATCAAACTAACAATTGCTAGAGCTTGAAGGTACAAAAGAATTTCAGTATGATCTGCAAGAAACTTAGTACTAATGCGCATGCAGGAATATATTTTGGCCTCAAGGAAAAATTAAACAAAAAACAGCTACAATTGTTATACTCTTTTGGGAATGCCTAACATCATACTGGGCTTCTCTGCTTGGTCATCCATAAAGATGTCAGTTTACAAGATGATATTGGCTTTGTGGTTCCACAAGGACTATCCTTTAGTAGCTTCACTATGCACATATCTTTAAAACAAAACTCTTGAAACAAAATAGAGGCAAAACCAATCAACCGACCCTCATATAAGTTACTTTAGAGAGTGAGATTTTTCCCACCTAGTTGTCTGCATTATAGGAAGTATTTTGTCAAATGCTAACTTACTTTTTCATTCATCTTCCTCGTTGAACAAACCACTTGAATGTATCAAGACCTGTTGTGGATGGGATCCGATCCTCTTCGTACTTTTCTTTTGCTTGATTGATTTGGATCAAATTTGTTGTTTACAGGCGCTGATTTTCGCTGTGTGCTCATTCCTTCCATGTCAACCGCCTTAAGAATTCGTTGATTCTGGGGAGATATTCCATTTCCTTTGTGGCGATGCCTGAACACAAGGTCCTTACTTCTCAGACCAGAAACTTGATTTGGTTCAACTGTTAATAGCCAAATACAGATAAGAAGGATAAGAACTCTACGAACACTGCAGACCATTTTCTCTACCTCTCAACTCAAACAAACAAGAAGAATAGAATCTCTCTCTGTTTAGAGTAATGAGAGATATGAGTCTGTAATCCTTCTAATCTCATGTTCCATTCCTGTAGATGTAAGCCTGTTATTTATCTCTCGGTGGATTGAAGGGGGCTTTAAAGCATAAAGCACAGAGGGCCCCAATAGTTCTTAAGGAATTTTAGTTTCATATAAATCCTAACCCTGCAATCTAAGCAAATTAAGGCTGTTATCAAAGAATCTGACAAGGATGAATAAAGGGGGTTGGAACAATACTCTTGAGAAGTCA